GTCAGACAGGCAGAAGGAGACATCAGACAGGGATGGTGAGACATTAGACAGGCAGAAGGAGACATCAGACAGGGATGGTGAGACGTCAGACAGGGATGGTGAGACGTCAGACAGGCAGAAGGAGACATCAGACAGGCAGAAGGAGACATCAAACAGGGATGGTAAAACATCAGGCAAGCAAGAAGAGACAACAGACAGGGATGGTGAGACATTCGACAAGCAAGAGGAGACATCAGACAGGGATAGTGAGACATTAGACAGGCAGGAGGAGACATCAGACAGGGATGGTGATACATCAGACAGGCAGGAGGAGACATCAGACAGGGATAGTGTGACATCAGACAGGCAGGAGGAGACATCAGACAGGGATGGTGAGGCATTAGACAGGCAGAAGGAGACACCAGAAAGGGATGGTGAGACATTAGACAGGCAGAAGGAGACACCGGAAAGGGATGGTGAGGCATTAGACAGGGATGGGGAGACATCAGACAGGCAGGAGGAGACATCAGACAGGGATGGTGAGGCATTAGAAAGGCAGAAGGAGACACCAGAAAGGGATGGTGAGACATTAGACAGGCAGAAGGAGACACCAGAAAGGGATGGTGAGGCATTAGACAGGGATGGTGATACATTCGACAAGCAAGAGGAGACATCAGACAGGGATAGTGAGACATCAGACAGGCAGGAGGAGACATCAGACAGGGATGGTGAGGCATTAGACAGGCAGAAGGAGACACCAGAAAGGGATGGTGAGGCATTAGACAGGGATGGTGAGACATCAGACAGGCAGGAGGAGACATCAGCAGACAAACCGGACGATACACTAGACAGTGCAGAGGGAACACCAAACACACAAGATGAAATATCAGACGAGCAGGATCAAATATTAGGCAAGCAATCTGACAGGCGAGAGGAAGATGAAGAAGGGAACGTTTCAGGACATCAGAGTGGAATCTTAGACAGGAAAGGGACAACTTTGGAAAAGAAGGACGAATTGTCACGCAATCACGGAGAACCGTCACACAAGCAAGAGGAAAGGTCAGTCAAACAAGGGGAAACGTCGGACAAGGACGAATCTTCGATCAAGCATGGTAAAATATCAGAAGAGCAGCAGGGCACTGATGGACAAAAGGACACTTACCAGGGGGAAGAGGAAACAACAGGTAGCCTGAAGAAAACGCCAGACACGCAGAAGGAAACATCCGCCCGACCAAAGGAAATATCTAACAGGAGTCCAAAGGGACCTTCAAACGAACCAAAAACAGCTTCGGAGAAGCCATACAAAGATTCCAGTGCAGAGGAAGTATCGGGGACTCAAAAGGAAACGGCTGGCACAGGGCAAGAAGTAACGGACAAGAAGGAGGGAGCGAGAGAGAAAACGTCAGACAAAGAAGAGGAGGAGGCATTACAACAAAGGATGGAAGAAAAGAGACGACTTTTTGAAGAATATGGTATATTTGATGACAGCGATGTCGATGAAGAAGATGTACTAGACGAAAATCAGTCAGACACTGAACAGGATGATGCTACCGTGGAAGGCGCCGTATCTGAGATAACTGATGATGAACCTGACCAAACAAGTGGAGAAAATGTTGCGATACAAGATGAAGAAGCCCGGAGACAGCTATTTGAAGAGTACGGCATATTTGATGACGACGATAACGTCACGACGCCTGAAAGTGACGCAGACATAGCCGATATCGTCCATCCGGATCACGGAGCATCGGCTCAGCTGCACAGTATACCAGAGGAAGAGCCTGCTCAAGATGTTGAAGAGGATATCACAATATCTCCACAGGAAACACCTTTAGACGCTCCTTCTGAAGATACGCCCGCTGCAGAAAATGGCGACAAAGTTTCCCCAGACGTCACAACTCACGGGCCGCAGCAACCAACTACACAGGACACCATGTTGGAAGAAGCTGTTAGTACCGACGATAGCGACGTGGACGAGATTTTGCGAGAGGTCGGTGCCCTACACCAAGCTCTGGAGGTCGAAGAATCACTAGCGGAATTCGATACGGCCATTGATGAAGCAGAGAAACTATCCCCGGATAAGGAGGGTCACATCGCCGGCAGTACCGCTGTACCAGGCTCTCAAAGTGACACTTTTGAAGAGTTCTACCCACAGTTTCATTACCCGATCTCTCCCTTTGCTGAAAATGCTGAGCAGGGTTTATCGTATTATCTCAGACAGCAAAGTTCCTCCGCCAGCCCACGTAATGGCGAGGGGAAGTCTGAAACAACAGGAACACCCGAAATGACGTTAGAAGCAACACCAAGTGACACCGGGCATGGTAGACCAATGGAAGAAAAAGTTGGACATGTTGACACCGGGTTTGGAACGCCGAAGGTCGACCAGCCCTCAGCTTCTGAACCTTGGCCAGGAGCAAGTGTGGTGGACACAAGGAAAGCTCAATTACCGGGCCAAACCGACGTCCACTCGTTAGGTCCAGACAGCGACAAGACGCGTGGAAGTGGTCCTGACCTGTGGGCCTCTGGGAAAGTGGGCAAAATGGGCAGAATAACAAGAAAGAAAGGGAAACAGATTACAGAAGAGCTGAGGCACAGATTCGAAGAGGATGAAACCGAAGGCCAAACAGACGAAAATGCACCTTTGGTACAAGACAAGTCATCACTGACACACGATCCTAATGTAGAATTCGCACTGCAAGAAACTGGTGGGAATAATGACATGTCTGAAACGTCGGCGTTACAACAACCAGGGGGCCCGGGAACGAGCAAGAAAGCGGAGGGCAGTACGGAGTCGACAAAGCAGCCCTCGGTGTCACAATCGAAGAGTAAAAACAATGGCAATGAAGACAAAGCAGAGGGCGGTGACCAGACAGCAACGCAAGACGTCCATCCACCGGGCCGACCCGGCAGCCGCTCAGCCGGTCCAGACGCTGACGGGACGGACGGAAGTGGACCCGAAATGTGGGCTTCTGGGAAAGTGGGCAAAATGGGCAGAATAACAAGAAAGAAAGGGAAAAGAATTTCGGAGGAGCTGAAGCACAGATTCAAAGAGTATGAAGCCGAACAACAACGGTACGAACCTTTGGCACAGCCCGATGAATTACAAAAACATGATCCTGAAGTGGACGTAACATCGCAAGGTCTTGAAGATGGCAGCGAGGAAGCGGCTGATGGAAACCGTGACATGCCTGGAACGGTACCGTCCGTCTCACAACCAGAGGGTACGAGCAGGGGAGCGGAGGGTGGTCTCGAGTGGGGAACGCAGCCATCGGTTTTACAACCAAATGATCAAAACAAAGACACTGAAGACAAACTAGATGGTGGTAACGTGTTGGCGACGCTATCGTCGACGTCACGACACAAAGACACCGTCGAAAAAGCTGAAATTGCTGATGCGTCGGCGTCACAACGAGAAGATAGCAACAAAGAAACTGAAGAAGGAGAACCTGTGGTTGGTGATGAGTCAAGAACGTTAACGCTGCCGTCGACATCACATCCAGAGGAAGAGGGTAACAGCAAAGACACCGTCTCTGAAGAAGGAGCCGTCGGTGAAGAGTCGTCAACGTCGTCGTCAGAACACCCGGAAGGTAGCGACAAGGGTAAAGAAGAGCATTCCGTGTCCGCCAGAACGTCCCTGGGTCGCCGGTCTAGCAAGGAGACTCGTCGTGAGCGTAGGAAGAAGAGCAAGGAGAGTTCAGGAGAACCCACCACCTCAGAGGAGTCCCTGGAACAGAAAACGGTCCCTCAGCGGCCTGTCCGTCCTGAACGAAAACATCTACAAGAAAAACAATCAACATTGTCGAAAGGCAAGACCAGGACCAAGTCGGAAAGGGAAGACGATGAGGTTGAAGAAAGAAAGCGCGGGAAAGACAGCTTCTCAACCACAAGTGGAGACCAGTTTTCTGACGAATATACGGGTCCGCACAAGGCTTACATGTCTCGTACGGAAAGGAAAAGACTGACTAACCAACGCAAGAAAGCGGAGCGCGACGCCAAGCGGCAAGAAGAAGCACTACACGCGGATGCTGAGACGCCTGAAGATGTCTCGCAGAATGCGCCAAGCCATTCCAACGTGGACGTCAACAAAGTCGTACCTGTTGGAGAAGATGAACAGCTGAATACCGTAGACACGACGGTTCCCGATCCCCCGATTGATGACGAAAGCGAATCGTCGGGGAGCAGTCGGACGAGACAGCGTTCCGTCAGTTCTTCGTCGCGTGACACAGAAACGTCTGGAGTCACTCCCGACCTGAGGGCGACATCCACGGCACGTAAAGAGGCAGATGCATCCAGCGGTGAAGGCAAACGTGCAACACGTCCACGCACAAGGTCTAGGCAGCGTCATAAACATGAAAAGGACAAGCCCAAGAAAGGGGGACAAAAGACTACGTCTCGTCCAACCGATGATCCTGATGGAATTAACACGGGGCGGAATTCACAAGGGGCAGCAAAGAAAGAAACTCTCGACGAAACGAGTCAGAGGAACCTGGTTCTTGGATTGGGAATACTTACTACACTACTGTTCGCTGCCTTTTTGTGGCTTCCGGCATCCGCATGGATATTAGTGCTATTATCAAAGGAACACAAAGAACAGTGATACTTTCACATCTGAATGGGCCTGAAGTAAAGATTTTCGGAAGGCCATAATGTATTCACGGCTTGTTTCACACTGAGGGCACTGAGATCCTAAGTTTAACCGGGCTAAAGTGAAAAAAAACTGATCCATTTAGATAAGATGTGACGGTATATATATAATACATGTGTCATCGCTTACGACCTAAGAGCTAGAGAAAAAGAATTTTCAAGTTAGCAATGTAGCGACAAGACGTTGATTTTTTTTTCGTTATGGAAAGAACGACTTTGTACCAGTAAGGGTGTGGGAACAAAACTGTAAAAATTCGAGTGAACTTTTAGAAGACATGACTACTGTCAATAATAAGGCGATTTTATATTAGTTCAGTGGTTTCTGGTGTTGCTGTAATCACGAAGGAATCGATTTTGAAGCTTTCTGTGTCAAATCTTAGCTATTTTGGGGGCAACTTAATATTCCCCAATATTGGGGCAACCTTTAAATGGTGTGGCTAAATGGTGTGGAATGATGCAATGCCATATACATGTATATGTTCTAGCCTAGATCACCATTGAATCATAACTAATCAGCGTGTTTTTCATTAGAAATTATCACGTATGTAGTATATATAGGATGTTTCTTTTTATTTTTCCTTTCATTACATCAAACAAGATGTTGAACTTGCTCATCAGTTACATGATTTTCGTCATCCCATGAAAGTACTGAGTATAGGCTTATATACAAACATATACAGACAAAAATGAAAATGAGCATTCAGTTGTATCATAGAGTACAAGAAAATACAACATGCATATGTCTGTGAGCTTTTTCGCTGGCGTGTCCGTTTGTATTTTAAAACTACATTCGTCTTGACCTAACATGACCTAGCCTCCTTCCCAGTTTTTGCCACGGAGAGAAGGTTTCGCGCTCCAACAAGCGCGAAACCTTCTCTCCGTGGCAAAAACTCCCTCGGCAGCAAATCGTCCCTCGCGGCCGCATATTACTCGCGTCGCTCAGAGAAAAAATAACGCTGACGCCCAACAAGACTGCGAAGGAGGCTAACATGACCGAACATATCCCCATTATAAAGAAGATTGTCTTTGCTCCATGTTTACTACTTACGGCGGATGAATATGTAGCCTTTCCCTAAACCGGGACAAACCACAACTTATAAGACCGTCATCATCCAGATCAAACACTTTTTTGCTAATGATAGTGATTCTAGGACATAACGCTACATAATGATTCACAATGACTAATTTGAAGGAAAGAGCTGAAGAGAACTTTTCTTGTAGAGAACTACTTTCATCTCGCGGAGTAGTCTAGAGACGGTGAAAAGTCAACATCAGCGTCCACAAAGCAAGATGGCGGAAGAACGTCTGAAAAAGATGGCAGGCTTGGAGTCTAGAGTCGCTACAGAGGAGGAGAAACCGGAGCCAGAAAAACCTGTGGACCGAGAGAAGGTTAGGAGCTTCCCGTTGTACTGATGTAAAACTTGGGTTGTTTCCTTTTGATACTTGTACGGAAACGTGCGGCGTTGTGTACTTGGTGGGGAGGGGGGCGACTATTTGACCTGCATGCTGCAGTGTGTGTATACATTTTGATACAAAGGAGAAATAATAATAGAAAGAAACCACGAGCAGTCATTTGCATCACACGAAGAGTTCATCTGGGAGCTGTGAATATTTCAAGCGTTGAATTAGAAAATGTAACGTTATCTACCTTAGAAACTCTGCGCACCCGGGTGCCCCCCTCCCCCACTCCTTTGTAATAATAAATTTCATTATATTCGTCCCATCAAGGAGTTTTGAATATCTTTATTTGTAAGCTCCTTAGTCCCATATATAAAGACTTGGACCTTTTCTTCCATGTTTGCTGTACTGAAACAGCTTTACTGCTTAACTCGCATCCAACAGAGAAATTTTTGGCTTGTCTCTGTTAGTGTGCGTCTGTCAGTGTGTGTAATTTCTGTGCACGTGTCTGCCTTTTGATTTCTTAAGAAGTAACACATAATTATACATCACAATTTTCTTGTTTCTATGCAGACTTGTCCGCTGTTGCTCCGTGTGTTCTGCAACCAAAACAGGTTCCACAGGTATGAAAACATAACTTGTGAATATGCTGCGTAGCTCCAAACAGAGGTTTGGGTTTGGGGGTATTTTGGGCATGTTTTTAGGCCTTTAGGATTTTTTTTTCATCCCAACCCAACAGATTGGGATGAAAAAATTCCAGTGCAAAAAAGAAACCCTGATAAATTGTAAGGTTTGGCATGTTTTTACTAAAAACATGCCAAAAGTACCCCCAAACCCAAACCTCTGCTTGGAGAGTACTAGTATGTGTACTCTAGTTATTTTGTACAGTCAAACTTGCCTAAGATGACCACCCAGGGGACCAAGCAAAAGTTGCCTTCTTGGACAATAAGTATGGAACAAGACTAGACATAACGCAAGGTTACCAGTTTACGGTCGAATTATGGAAAATTCCATTTTTTGTGAAAACACATGGGCAGAACGTTTTTTGTGCCGTGCCAGCTTTTATTTATTTAGTAGTTAACAGTGGAGAATTGCTCTAGGGTGACCAATTAACGGTCACTTGGACCTTTGTCCTTGTATGCTCTACGTATAAGCGCACATAAACAAACACTTTCTGCAAAAAAATACCGAAGTGGTCAACAACAAACCACGGTAAAATGTCAGTGTGTAGCCCACTGTCGCATGCAGTAGCGCTGTGGTGCTAAATGAGGCTGGACCTGCATTTTTCCCTTAGTAGAACGTGACATAATGGCCCAAGATGTTCCATTAAACCGTTGCAATAGATAACAAGCGTCTGTGCCCCTCCAGACACAATGGAACGTCGTGAAAACCCGAGCAAACTTTTCGCTACGGTCGCAGGAAGCCATTTTGGCATTTTTGCATAAATTAATGTGCAACAGCGCCACAGTGCGACTTTTACGTACCTTTCTGCAGTTTAAAACCGTGACGTCACCTGATGCAACGATGATGATGATCAAAATGGCATTCGAAAAAACGCTAGTCGGCGAGAACTGCCACTGTACTTTTGCTTGTTTATTTCAAGGTGTTTGAAAGTTTCATACCTCACAACACCATGGATCATTGAGATAAGAAAGCCAGGTTTGATGCCAGCTATCGTTACAATTTCCTAGCATTCTTGGGATTTAAAAGAATCGACGAAATGTTGAGTATTGTATTATGTGAAAAACACAACATGCATCCAAGGCCATGTTACCTTGCTGTCCTGTCATATCGGAAGATACTCTGCTGTGTCGCTGAATGCAAACTTATTCCCATCCAGTGAATAAATAAAAGACACATATAAGGATCATATTCATGTTATTCTTTGTTGCTCACGACCGTTGATTTTTGGCTGGTACACCTCGAAGCGTGGCCGTGTCACTAACTGACCGTAAACTGGTCCTGCACGTAAACTGGTAACCTTGCGTTAGAACAAGAAAAGCACAGAAAAATATCCATCCATTTTACAATAGAATGCCCACTAATTATTTTATTTAGTAATACTGTAATAGGCAAACTGGGGTCTCCCATGAAATTAGGCCTATGTATCCAATGGCTGAAATTACAAAAGCACTTCGGGCACCTCAAATACTCAAAAGTAAAAAAGCCGTGTTTTTGTACCAGCATGAGGTGGTGTTCTAGATGTGCAGTACAGGTATAAAACCATGGATTAAATTGTTGTGAAACATAATCCATGAGATGTTCAGTGCTCACATTGTATAATTCCATTCTAGGCCAGAGGAATTTGCAAGAGGGAATGTGCCATCCAACGAGCTTCAAATCTACACCTGGTAAAATGATTTGTTTTATATATATATATATTACAATGGTTTATTTCAAATGCAATAATTTACCAAAACACAGTTGCCACCTCGCAGCGGAAGCTGAATTATGTGTAACTGTTTTCAAGAGTAAGTTCGAGCAACTCGATAATGTCTGATTGAATGAAGGATAACTTTTTTTCTCCAATTACCAGTACATGTACATACGTTTTATCTGCCAGACAATCGAATGTATGAGAAAATCAGATAACAGTCATCTCAAAAGTGTAGATTAGAAAGGAGAAATACATTGTAATACTAACTTCTTGTACTTAACTTCGCTACAGGATGGACTGCACACTTAAGGAGCTGACTGGCCTGATTAAAGAAGTTAATCCCGAGGCCAGGAGGAAAGGAACATTCTTCGACTTTGCCACTGCTTATCCAGGTAAAGTACAAACCTTAAGCCTAGGAAAAAATGTTGTGTTTCCTGTTTCAGACCTGAAATATATTAGGGTCGGTAGGTAGGGATTATCTTTTTTTTTTAGACTTTGGCGATCTCTAGTGATCCGATTTATACAATACAGTTTAACAAAGTAAAACTTGCATGAGGACATGTTGGAAAACCAATTGTACAATGTTTCATCAATCAGTTGTCAGATCATCAGAAAAGGTTGATCAGCTTGAAAAATTTATGTCTGTAGAAGGAGTCCACACAAAAAAAGGCTATGGTCAGCATTTTTGCTAGGGTCGGCAGGGAAACCCATTTTTTTTTCCTAGGCCTTACTGCTGAGTTCAAAAGGTCTGAGCTGCGATGTAAAATGGTTAGACTCTGAGTCTCCAAAAGCTTCTACTGTCAATTACTTGTAGATAATTAGTTTAGCTCTTTTCTTTCCAAACTGTGTACAGTCTGTATACTGTAATTGGCTCCTTAAAAGGTCAAAGGGATATCATTACTGTATCTTCTAGAATGCACCTATCCTGCAGTATTACTACACTGGAATATTTTTTGTACATTTTTATTTTGTAGACTCAACTGTCCTGCTTTATGTATGTGATGTATCTCCTTGTTCTTGTGACACTGTGTAGTAAAATTAGTAATAGCATCAGGCATTTGCCTGTATGAATTTCAATTACATAGTGTGAACCTACTTTGCTATCTCTTCAGATTTGAGACGTGGAGGCTACCGTCTTAAGGAGATCGGCAGCACCTGCTCGGGTCGGAAAGGAGCGGACGACAATAAGACGCTGGGGTCTCAGAAGTTCCAGATAGGAGACTACATCGACATAGCCATCACACCAGCCAGGCCTGGGGGACCACGGGGAGCACGGCCTTACTGAGGAACTTATGACCTGCTGTCAGTCAGCTCAAACTGTGTTCCAACACAACAAACTGTCACTGTGAACTCACAGATTTCTATACAGTAGGGCTCTCTCATCTCAGCTATCCCTTAGTCAAATAATGGTGAAGAGTGAAGGTACTGCAGCTACTAGCTTCGTACACAATCAGGCTACTAACTGTGATCTGATGTATCTGTATAGCCGGTATAACCGCCTTTCGGCGTAACACACCAGCTTCTGTATCTGTATAGCTGGTATAACTGCCTTTCGGCGTAACACACCAGCTTCTGTATCTGTATAGCCGGTATAACCGCCTTTTGGCGTAACACACCAGCTTCTGTATCTGTATAGCCGGTATAACCGCCTTTTGGCGTAAAGCACCAGCTTAATATAATGTGAACTTACAGATGTCGGTACAACAGGGCTCTTTCATCTCATCTATCAATTAGTCCAGAGATAACCTGACAAGCAGTTTTTTCCCACCTTTTTTGATTTTCTGTTTCCTTTCTTGTGGTTGGGAGGTGTTCTTGTGGACCTATGCTTTGTATGACTCTGTTTTGTACTTCCTTATTTGAGATGTGGTCTCAGTAGGACTAACTCAAGTATGCAGTCATCTTTAGGATAAAGAATTGTCTACTCTGAATACTTGAAGTCCATTCTGAAACCTGTTTTGGTACAGTGATTTTTTGGTAGCCTCTGCTGTAGATGGCTTCCCACTATGTATCAAAATTCCGAAGAAAACTGTTTAGGGGTCCAAAATTTGGTTTGCTGATATTTTGTTCTGTTGGGACAAGATTGAGTTTCGCAGCGGCAGGATTTTATAGTTTTTTTATTGATCCACGTGGAAACATTGATACCTAATGTGAACCTAATCACACATCTTTTTGCCGGCTTATTTTACAGAAAAGACAAAAATGTGTAGTATTTGTACATGAAGTATAGAGGAATTAGATTGAATGGATGACCTCTTAGCGTACTTTGATGTTTGCCTATTAAGAAAATATGTACGTGCTCTTGAGTAATCAGTTGATTGTTTACCTATGAAAATGGTGTAAAATTGTGTTGTTTTAACAGTCCTTAACTGTTGTACATCTCTACTAGAAGAGACATCTCCTAAGTTAAAGATGGGACTCCTGATTTCAGAAAATGGGTTTTAGTACCAGGTAAAGCTCTGATTTTAGCTCTATCTTAATGTTGTTGCCTTGAAATGTCATACATTTTCACATGCCTTCAGTCTTGGAAGAAAGGCAACTAGTACTAGTGAAGTTGTTCCATACACTGTTTTATTTCAAGATAGCTCATTCATGATGAAGTATCGGAAATAAAAGGAAAGTTTAGTGTAGTAACAAGCCTTCAAAGTGGTGCTAGTACTTCCACACACATTGTCTAAAGACAACCTGTGCAACTGACCTCAGTTAGAATACACAAATTTACAACAGGTTTCTACCACACCCCTACAAATTGGACACACATTTCATATGAAATCAAAGATTCATAGATGATCCTAGTATATGAGAAAGGAAAGTACATATATGTTGATTTTGCTGACTACACGTGTATTGTTGCTCTTCTAGTAGTCCTGTACACACTTGTATGAGTGGGAAGTATTCAGTTGATCCATTCACCTAAGCATGATCACTTGTATTACATTGAAACACAAAACCACAATCTTATATTATTAAGCTAGATGTATGTGGACGTTGCTGCCCAATGGAGTAAATAGCAGTTTGGCCACATTGATTTAATTCTTTGGATGGCATCCGCGCATGCATTGATTTTCACCTGCCCTCCAAAAAAAATCACCTTTTAGGCTCTGGCCTGGGTGCCATCCTCCGTAGTCCATGGTAGGAGCCAACGGTAACTATGTAGGATGGCACACAGGCTGCAGAAGCTCCATAAAAGTCAGTACTGTGCCGACACAAATGCCGCGAAAGTTCAGTATGTGCCGGCTTGTAAAAGTCGCTATGTACTACCACAAATTCATACCAGCTTTGTATTCCTGTACATTGTTTGGCAACATTTTTTTTACTGGATTTTTTTTTTAATTCTCCTGTGGACACTAGTTTGATGGATTTGGGGGCCTTCAGAGAATGTCATCCCACAACAGTGATAACAACTAATAACTGAAATAATATCCACCTGAAAAAAACAAAACCTCTAGCTAAAATTGTTTACCCTTTGCAAGTAACTATAAGACTAAAATGCATTTCTGTGCATAACATAAAACCAGATAGTGAAGGGAAATATGGGCGCTTTGCTGCCCAGGTGAGCAGATAGCAGTTTACAACCATGGAGGTGTCCTTCTAACTCCATGTTACAACAAGGTACAGACCACACAGGTGAGCTCCCAGCCGCTGATGTAGGGACCACAGGGAAGAGAGCCGCACTTCGCCTCCACCAGTTTCAGCACTGCCCCGTTTACATCAGCAGACGATCCTGGCCTGAGTTGGGGAGCTCCGTCCACACAGATGAAGTTCTTGTTGCTCGGGTGGTCGTGATAATCCGACATCAGGTAGCCGCTGTACTCCTTACTCCACCCCTGAGGACAGGACAGGCGGGCGGGGATCATGACGTGTGCTGACCGACCGGACACGAGACACACCGAGCAGGGGACGTCGTAGTTATGAGGGTTGGTGACGTACCCCATGTTGTCTGTGGAGAAGTACCCAGCACCGACGCTGTACTCAGTCCCGGCCCGTACATGTAGCTCCCGTGCTGAATACCATCCACTGGGTTGTTCCACTCCACTCCTTCCAGGGGCAGGCACTGGTAGTCACTTCCCCCTCCCCGATTGTTGTAATATCCACTTCCCACAACACCTGTGAAAACGCAGGGTGAGTTTCTGAAACATTATTGATAGCTTCTACCATGCTTTGGGAGGCAGCCGAAAAGAGTAAAAATTGGCCACATAGATGCCAGGGAAGTTGGTCCGGTTTACCGCACTCCCCTGGCATGTTATCTGTCTATTTGGCCAATTTCTCCTCTTTCCAGCCACTTCTGAAGCCTGGTAGAGGCTACCGTTTGCCGCACTTCCCTGACTTATCTATTTTGGTTAATCTCTAATCTTTCCAGTCGCCTCCCAAAGCCTGGTAGAGGCTACAAGTTGCTGCACCCCCTAGCTTGTTATTTGCCTATTTAGCCAATTTCTACTCTTTCCAGTCGCCTCCCAAAGCCTGGTAGAGGCTACACTATCGATTGATCCAAAAGAACTTTAAGAAGCTGTTTCCAGCAGCGTGAATTAAATACAATGTAATGGGTGAGCTTGATTGTTGTGAGGATTAAGATATAAAACGATGTTTTATAGTAATCTTCAGTTCGACCTACCGGAGTAGATAGTCTTGGCGTTTTCACCACAGTCGTCTCTTCCCCACCGCACGTACACGTCCCCGATGGACGGCGTCAGGTCGGCCCGTCTCCGCTCTCTGTGCGCCCCGCCCGTAGCAGTGTCGTTCTCTCGGTCCTCCGTACCAGGTAAGGCGGTCCGTGCAGAAAGGGTGATCTGTTGCAATACGTAAAGGAATTACATGTAGTATGAACGTCTGAAGAAGGTAGACAAATCCTCATGGCGCCATCTCCCCAACTCAATGATCAATGATATGTGGCGTCCATTGTTTTCGTTTTCCCACGGCTGCTTGGTTTGGGGTTTTGTTTCTTGCGAACTTGGCCTTGTGAGTTTTTCAGTTATGGGTTCGAATTCCTAGCATGCCCCAATGTGGTGACCGTGTTTTGCAAGTGAGTTCTTCCGTTTTTGACGTTCTCTCTGATGGGAAATAAAACCAGAGGTCCCGTGTTGGAGGAGAGCCCCACTAATTGTACATTTATGGCCCACTAATTGATAAAAACAGGGGTCCTTGGTGTGAGTGTTGCGATTTAAGTTATCACTCTGGTCTTACACACCTTTTTTTTTAATTATTGTCACACTGAAACGGTCAAGTCGTAATAAAAGATTAAAATAGAAAAGCTTTTTTTCTTGTCCGACTGAAAATGTCCAGGCGGATCCTTACCATGAGTTTCCTGAGCTCGGTCACCTCCAGCTGCAGGTCTGACATGGTGACGTAGACCAGCGGCATGAGGACGGCGCACACCAGCACCCCGCCCAGACAGCCTCCCGCCAGGAGCACCAGTCCCGTCCGCCGCCCGCCCTGCCTCTTGTACGGCCTGGTCAGGCCCACACCAGCCAGGGGAGGGGCGAAACCTGAAGAGAAATGAAGGAAAGCGCGGTGAAGTTCCTTTTGGTACAACCAGTATCAGGAGAAAGTAAAACATTCTTGACAAGAAGTTGCTACTTTATCACAAATCGGTAAGAAGATAAGGCTTTCTTACCCTCAACGGGTAAGAAGTTAACTCACCTGGGTCCGTAACAAGTTTCTCCGAAGACATTCTATCCGATACACGACGGCACAAAACTTAACTTTGGTTTGGTTTGCAGGAGCAAGGAGGTTAAAAATCCTTCTTGGGAGGAGGAAATAGAGAAATGGCGCAATCCAACAGGTGGCCAAATTGAATTGTCCAGACGCAAAGAAGCGATGGAAGTAACCACTCGCTTGGGGACTCTCGATAAAAATGTAGTGAAGCTTGTATACGTCTATGCTAAAATGTTTCATGGTATCTGAAGGCGTCGTCAATAAAAAAGTTCTCGCATGCCATCATATTTCCCATTCAAAGACGTCATACATAATAGGCGCAATCTGTTTGAAATCCGTTGGTACTCCTAATATAAAATCCCACATGGTCCAGTCCTCGTTTTAGAAATTGGGCTCTCTGCTCTCTGGTTGGTTAGGACAGGCATTGGAAACGCAATGTCTCTTGGCTAACGTTTGCTGGTTTGGCTGGGGTTAATTGCCCCGACTAGTGATCATGAATGGTGAAGCTATGTCGACTACTGTCATGTCACTAACGAGCTGCACTTGAACGTGACAATTGCAATGTGCCCCTAAAACACCGCCCAGTGAATAGTGAAGATACTGCAGTCACTGGCTTCGTACATCTAACCGTACTAAGCATAAAGGCTCGCTTCACGTGGCCAATGCTCTGCAATATAAACAGTCTATGCCAGTCCATGAGATGGTTAACCGGGCTAAATTAAACGTCCCCTTCCGCAGAAACCTCTAGATGGCCAACCGTATCTGACATGTCTGTAGTACATTTGTGTATACTGTAGCCTCTACCAGGCTTGGGGAGGCGGCTGGAAAGAGTAGAAATCGGCCAAATCACGTGGCCAAATAGAGAGATAAGCATGCCAAGGGAGTTTGTCCGTTGAGAGATTGGGGTGCGGCAAAATGTTCTCTCAATGGACAAACTCCGATCCCCTGGCATGGTTATCCCTCTATTTGGCCGATTTCTACTCTTTCCAGCCGCCTTCCCAAGCCTGGTAGAGGCTATTGCTGAGGTACTTTTGAGTTTGATTGTGTAAATTGGACGTAAGCAATTGGCTGCAGTAGTGTCAAATGTCACTGGGCGGAGCTCGAGCTATCCGAGAATCATGTCGCGGTCAAGTGCAGCCTGACTGTGAACGGTGGATGGAAGCCGCTGTACTTTCATTGGTCTCTGAACGGCACAATAAGAGGACCATTCCTGTGCATCCCTTTTGTACTGGCGGGTGGAAACCAGTAAAATGCAGTACCTACATCCGTCACTAGTCGGTGTCTTAAGGACACATGTCACGGCCAGGTGCCGGGTACAAATTGTAGACACGAGTAATTAAGGTAGCCATGTAATTAAAAGGCACAAAGACAGCAAATTTAAAGTAATTAAAACACCAGGCAGGGAGAAGTTTTGTTGTGAAAGTGTTAGTCTCGACATTATTGTGAACGTGTAATAGAAAGACTGTTTTACAACTAGTAATGTCTCGCAAGGGATGAAGAGGGTCTATGACGACCTAGAAATGGGTTCCTGTTTCTGATCAAGCCAAGTTTCGATTCGTCATACATTCATTGCCGTAAAGGCCTTAGAAGTCCCACCATGGTCCCGTGCTTGGAATTAAAAGATCTAGCGGACAAACATTGCACATGTGTGTGTACAAAATGTAACGTCTTCGTATGCAAACGGTGTATTTTGGGAACATTTATAATAGAAAGCGTTGGGGAAGTTTCTGACTCAATTTGCAGTCACACTGCGAAGTTTTGTCATACATCATGATCATCATGGCAAACGTTAACAGTGTACATGTGTGTGTACAAAATATAACGTCTTCGTGTACAAACGATGTACATGTATTTTGGGAACATTAGAAAGACGACCCAGAGCGTTGGGGAAGTTTCTGACTCAGTACCGCTTTAGTTTTGCAGTCACACTGTCGAACACCGCGAGCAAAATTTCTAGCCATATAAGTTAGATTTCCTCACACTCTCGAGACTTTAGAAGGTACTAGAACGACCAGGTGACACCGACACCACCTGTTCTGTGGTTTCGTGGTACATCTTCCCATTTCCTCAGCGGTTCCAGACGATAGTTTACCCAGACAAAGAGAGAATCCGTGCGGAAGGATAGGTGAGAAACAATAGCCCGAGGATAAAACAGGCGTGGGCGCGCTAATAACACTACGTCACCTCCCGTTTCCCGCCCAAAGTTACCTGTCCAACGGGTGATGCAAACCGATGTTATCTTCCCGCCAATATTCAATGCTCGTCTCTCTCCATTGTTAGCAGGCTTTGTACTCACGAAAACGGCTGACATAGCACTGAGATGAAATCCTATGATAAAGCTAGGATTTTCTATAAGCTTTCTATTCAGTCGCAAAATCCCGTTCTCTTTTTCATTTTCTTCAATGTGTGCCTTTCAATAAATTCATTTTTCATTTTATCAAAGGCTTTGTTGCCAATACCACATGACCAGCGGTAAGTATGCTAACAAAATCACAATGTTCCATCTATCTTCAAAGACCGATAATATGGCCTACGTTCATTTTTCCTTTCTTGTGTAATTAGGCAACATTGGTAGCAGATAGAAGCTGTATATAACAAATATATGGAGGCTCGTGTTTAATATTTCATACAAAAATAGGTTACGATATCATGTAATAAGATAAAAAGACAACAATATTGGCCCAGCGCATTCTCGTGGAACGTAATGATATTTCAGCTTGTCCATTTGGTTCTTGTATAAATGTCTCGAGGGCAAATCAAACGTCATCGTACCAGAAAGTTGTCAGTCGCACAGGCCAGTGAGTCAACGATTTGGCGGGAAATGATGATCAATTCTCAGGTATGATCCTATAAAGGATGGTAGATTACTCATGGAGTAGGACACCGGTCCGTACAAAGTGATGACTGTTTGTCTGTCTCGTCCCTAGTGTCATCGTACAGACAACGACATTATACTGGTAATGTTTGTTGTAATGGAGATATGTCCAGAAATATTTACAATTAATAACAGCCTTGCAAGACTTAGTGATTTTTGCCATCGCGCATAAGTTAAAAACTGCATCCTGTTTTGCTAGCATTGCGTCTAAGAAAATCTGTAACATATTCAGAAAAAGTTGTTACAGCACGAAATTAATAAGGAAAAGTGTGTAGTTTATAAAGTACACCTCATTGCTGGGATGTCTAACTTTCATCAGGTTTAAAATCCGTTTGCTTCCATCTACGTAGTTTATGAAATGGTGGATCATAGCCAATCTCTGCTGATATTGTTTTTCCTTTCCCGGCTCCTCGGCTTGCAAGGTCAAATGCAGCCATACTGTGCCCAAAGGCGCGAAGTTTGTCTTTCAACTTGTCTGGGTTTCTGATTGTTTGTAGCTGTTCTCAATTTCCCTTCTCATTGTGCCCTATAATAACACCATGCAGCGCGATTCGCACCTAACACGTGTCGAATTTCGCCCAGTTTGGCGCCTCCATGACCAAATAAGGAGGCGTCGGTCCAAATAAGGCGAAACCGGAAGTGATCTCATCGCCGCCGCCGATTTGAACTGGCGGAGCCTCGTTGTGGCGCGGCTGGGACGCCGGATCTTCACCCTGCAACAGACCCGGAAGGATGCGCCTGTGAACCGTGCTTGTTCTTCACTCCTAACGGTAAATTCACCCGACCAGAGCGACATATCCCCACCAGGAATAATCCACACACATTTGTCGAAGCAGCTGTATCAAGCAAAGATGGATCTGAAGATAATTGCGGCGGTTTGGCGACGATTAGTGCGGTCGGGATTTCTGCAGGTAAGGCTTGAGGTTGGAGTGAACAAGACGGGACGTGGCGCGGCGGTGGGCCGCCTTTGTTGTGCCGAAATTATCTCTCCCAGAGGCTATGCACGCATAATTTGTCTTCATGTGTCGTGCCATGTGTTAGATAGGGTTCCTTTACGATTATTCTGAGCCAGTTCCAGGGACAAATAAGTCGGAATGGTGCACATTTTAGCTCGGACGCCCTGCACCTGTGCACAACGCCAGGTAGGACAACGTGCACTACGTTGGGCGGCCGCCATTTTTTTTTGCAACACACTTTTTTTATCAAGCCCCCAAAACATGTCGATATTATGGCACATTGGCTTCTTTCGCAGTGCCCTTTCCCTCAGAAACTACAAGATTTACCATTTATGGGATTCATACTAATGTGTCACGCTAGTTCGGCTGCTGAAATCTGCGTGAAAGTGCCAAAGCATTTGCTACGGTCTGGATTTTGAGGTGAAATGTCGCGATGGCGGCAAATACTACACACACCGACGCTTCATCTTGTTTTGTAGGAAAACTCAGCTTAAATCTGTTGAAGTTCCACAGAAAGTTCCACAGACATGCCTTTTTAATTGATGGGTAACATACAGGATGTTAATTTTGATGTGAATTATGCATTTTCACGATTTTCAGACAACAACGGAACAGGAAAATGGCTTCCTCTCGAGTTGCCCTCCCCTGTATTTTACGTTCATTTGTGAACAACAGGGGAGGGGTCATGACAAAGCGAAAACAAAACCCTGTCTCATCCATGTTGCCCCCTCAGGACGTTACACCCCAATACCTCACCAATTCTACTTATTTTCACTAATTTCCCATCTCAGGTGTCGAAAATGAGGGAGTACACAGATGTTTAATTGCTGCTGCCATCAATTTAAGAGCTTAGAAAATTCTAGACAATTGCTGTTGTTATTTCCCGCTAGGGCCATTGAATTAGACAGATTTATTTTCCCCCAAAAGAGGAACTGTTCCCATGAAAATACCAGTGGAGATAGACACATTTTTCCACCTGGGTGTGATATTTTTTGCTCATGATTTGTCAACAATCTATATCCTGTGCATTACATGAAGCAGAATCCAATGCTATTTTCATTTGCTTTTCTAATAAGGCATTCTGTATTTGTAGCAAAGTTTATAGCCAGGTAATATGCCAATTATAGGTGTGCAAATTTGTACTTTACTTCCCCCCAAATCCTTAGGGATATTTGAGACAAACACCTAGTATAAATTTATGGTCTTTTATTCTAACATCAAATATTTAAGGGCAAACTGCTATGTGTCAAACAGTGCTCTAGGTTGTTGTTGAAAAGACAGCATTGCTTTCAAATTAGTTTGTATGGAAACCTTTCTAGATGCAAGCTTTTAGATATCCATACTGTTCTTTCTCAATAAACTACATTTTCGTAAAAGAAGTTTCACAAAACAATTCTGTTTTCTACATGGATACTGGTACAAGTGGTAGTGTACGTTATCACTTTGTGATGTACTTTTTGCTCTTTGTGGATGGAGAAAAAAATGATGCAGTCTTGTAAGTCTTTTAAAATTTAAATGTCGGACTTGCCTGTTAAATGACTTTGAATCCCACCTGCATACATGGACTGTGCAAAGTAGTTTGATGAGGTCATAGTTCTTTGGACTTTGACCAATGCAGATTACTCAACCTACTTGTAGTGTGGGTCTATATTTAAACACAGCTGTGTCGAGACGCTTTCAATTGCCACGTTAGCAACACCAGCTGAAGAATTAAGATTGTGCAGTTTACAGCTATGAATGCGTCAGGGAATACAGTGTAATTTTGTATGCCCCCTTGTTAACTATCGTTGGGTTTGAAATTGTTTCGTTGCTGCCCTTGGTGACCTGTGATAGACTAACATTTACATTCCATGGGGAGAAGTGTTGAAATGTAGGATGCAGAAATTATTTCACATTGATTGATGGATCATATGTGGCATAACTGAGTTATAAAAATAGAGCCATCCTGATCTCAAATCATAGATTCATATCTTGTGATTGATTGCATGCTCCTATTGGTAATGCCTAAGGGGAACCAAAGCACAGTATTTTACTTTCACTTCGGTAGTTGCTCACATTTGAATTTGGATAATGACTCATGGGTATTAACGGCGATCATTACAAACTCCAAGGCAGAAACTGGGAAGGAAATGGGTCTATTTTTGTAGCATGAGTTTTAGGATGGTTTTAGATTCATGGTGCATTGGGGAAACAATGAACTTGAAGCATGTTGGACGGTTGGTATGCAGCAGAGATACATAAAATGGTTGGGTCAGGACTGGAGTGAGGTTGTAATGGTTCATTTTGTCCAAACAACCTTGACGAAATGAAATTATTTTATTACAAGAATTTATCAGATTGTAGCAAGCCCTTGATCCAATTTGATTAAAGGGTTTGACTTGTTTCTAGCTCCAGCAATCTAAACCAGCCTAATTTTGGCTGGTGCATGTTGGAATCTATGTTCATCATCATGTAATTTGCTTCCCTAATGTAGGGAAGCTTTTGAGATGGGATATTTAATGACCAGATCTTATCAAAGGTTGGTCTGAGGTGAACTGCTGTATAGAAATAGACAGTTATCATCATGCACAGTTTTCTAGTTGCCAAGTGTATCATACATCAGAGTCATAAATACATTTGTATTTTTCATGTCCCAAATTCTTCAGCGGTACATTGGGATGGGAAGAAATTCTTCTGGCTGTGACATACGATTACAATACTTGGCTAGCAGCTTAGGTTCCTCCCTGCATAGTTTTCGCGGTTGAAAGGTAAACCTGTAGAGTTTGGGAGGGAAAATCCTGAAGCCCCCATGGACAAACAGTGTGGAGGATCTTCTTACCATGTGTGTTCTGGGAGTGGGAGGCAGTTGTTTTGATGGCTCTGCTGAGAGCCCTCACAGAGAGTGTGCGCTACTCTGCAGGAAAAGACATTATATTTGATAGCTGGTAGGAAGCTGTGCATTGGGAGAAACAGGTTCATTTGAGGTGCTACTGTGCTAGAGGAAAGCATTCTGGCTTGCCACCGACTGGAGAAAGCATTTCCATATTTCAAAATATCTCCCAGGATATTTCTTCAAAGGTGTTGGTATATGTAGGCAGCCTTAGCTGCTGAGGTTGATAGGGATAGATTGAGTCACTTTTTCCAAGATTGGGAATAAATTTAGTATGACATGCAACTGGAAATGCAGAACTAAGAAACCTGCAAGTTTTGTCTTGACATTAGTATTATTTTGATGGGTGATCTATCTGGTATAAACACATGAAAGAAACAACGCACACAAATCAAATCCACAGAATTAGGTTTTGAAGATAAAATTGGTTCAGAAAATCCCTGGTTTGTAGGTCTTAATTGAAGGTTATCATCACTGCTCCAGCAATTTAGAAATGAAGGCCTATTGAGAATCCATTTATGCCTTTTAGCTTCCTCGTCCCTATTAGATTAGGGTTTTCAGAATAGCACAGTGTTATAAAATGGCCCATTAAATTGGCAGGATGTTCTGAACTTGATATCGGATTCGCAACGAAAAAGGTGGCCTTGTCAAATGGCTTAGACATGATTGATCTAAAATGCATGTTATCCATGTTTTTTTAGCTGCACACCTTTTTTTCAAGAATCTTTTATATTATAGGACGCTTTTGTCCTACTAGGGCTAATAAAAACTT